CCGTCCTACACCCTCCCGGAGGCCTTCACCATATTATTGTCAGTGACCACAGATGATGCATATATGCAAGGTTTTTTTTTCTTCATCTCATCCCATCCTTCTCACCCCCACTTCCCCTTTGAGATGTTAGTCTTTCATTTATCCATGCTTCTGGTCCTATTTTGTTCTTTATATTCCATATATGTGAGATCATGTGATATTTGTCATTCTCTGACTGGCTTATTTCGCTTAGCATAACACTCTCCAGGTTCCTCCATACTTATTTTTTTTAAAACATATTTTATTGATTTTCTACAGAGAGGAAGGGAGAGAGATAGAAAGTTAGAAACATCGATCAGCTGCTTCCTGCACATCCCCCACTGGGGATGTGCCCGCAACCCAGGTATATGCCCTTGACCAGAATAGAACCCAGGACCTTTCAGTCCGCAGGCTGACGCTCTATCCACTGAGCCAAACCAGTTTCGGCACCTCCATACTTTCTTAAAGGATATGAGATCCTTCTTTTTTTTTTTTTCATCCTCACCCAAGGATAGTTTTTCATTGATTTCTAAAGAAAATGGATGAGGGAAAAAAAAAGAAAAGAAAATGGAAGAGGGAGAGAAACATCTACGTGACAGAAACACCATTGGTTGCCTCCTGCACACGCCCTGACCAGGGCCCGGGCCCAGGAGGAGTCTGCAACTAAGGTGCATTCTCTTGACTGTAATTGAACCCAGAACCCTTTGGTCTGCAGACCAATACCCTCTATTCACTGAGCAAAACCCGCCAGGGCAAGGAAACCCTTCTTTACTGCTGCATAGTATTCCATGGTGTAAATGTGTCAGTTTTTATCCATTCACCTATTGATGGGCACTTGTGCTTTTTACAGACCTTGGCTACTGTAAATAACACTATGAATATTGGGGGGCATATGTTCTGATTAGTGTTTTCGGATTCTTAGGCGATAGTCCTAGAAGTGGGGCCAGTTCCATTTTTAACCCAAAGGGTATCTTTTATATTGATTTGAGAGCGGAAGGGTGAAACATTGATGATGGGAGAGAATCACTGATCAGCTGCCCAGTTGTGAGATTGAGCCCACAACTCAGGCATGTCTTGACTGGGAATCAAAGACCTCCTGGTTTATAGATTGGTGCTCAACTGGCTGGGTCATTTTCAATTTTTTGAGGAAACTCCATACTGTTTTCCAGTGGCTGCACCAGTCTGCATTCTCATCAACGGTGTACTAGGATTCCCCTTTCTCCATATCCTCTTCAGAACTTGATTTGATAGTTGCCATTTTGACAAGTGTGGGGTGATATTTTTATTTGCATCTGATCATAGGTGACTTTGAGCATTTTTTCATGTCTATTGACCATCTGTATGTCAAATGTGCAGATTCTTGATGCCTCTTTATAGCGACTGATTTACTAGAACTGAAGTGTGGGCCATTTTCATGTTTAACCAGCATTGTTGAAGATGGTCCTATTAACAGTTTGAGAAACACTGTGATATTGTTTCGTACAAGTTCAGTGTCACCATCAAGAATTTGGGTCAATTTCACTTCAAACTTGCCAGCAAGGGGCAAACATTGACAATAAACAGATGTAAACATAGTATTTAAGATTAGTTTAATTTAGCCATCAAGATTAAATCCCTTTCCAAAATTTTGATGGCACTAAACATTTAAAAAACCAAACCAACCTTATGGACTTATTTTCATTGACCTGAAAATAAAATTTAAAGTATAGGCCTGGTTGAATTTCATCCATGCAACAAAAGGTTGTGGGTTCGATTTGGGCAGGGCACATACCTGGGTTGTGGGTTTGATCCACCGATAGTTCTCTTCCTTCCTCTAAGCCTGTTCTCCAGTGAGGATTAAAAAAATAAAATATAGGCCGCTTCAGCAGCAGCAGCAATCTTAAGGCAAATCAAAACCTGTCATGTTTGTGGAACAGTAATCCCATTTTGAGTATTAACCTAAGACATTGGAAAACAAACCACTGAAATGATTGAGAAAAACTGTTATAGTTCACTTTTTCCTAAAAGATTCAGTCTCTGTGTATACCAGAGATATCAGTGATTAAAGATTTAGGAATAACTGGATCATTCAACACAATGAAAATATTCTCCATTATGGTCTCATTGTAAAGGCAAACTATAATGTGAATAGGTAAAGGTTTCAAATTGTTTATTCCTACAAAATGAGTGGGAAATGTCCAGCCCATGGCCTTATATGGCCTGTGAAATCATTTGGTCTGGCCCTGCCAAGGCATTAGGGGTGAATTAAGTAACTGTTTGACCAAATATAGCAAGCTAATTTTTAAGTTGATAATTTTGTATGGCTTCTGAATATTATATCCAAATGACCCTTGGCAGAAAAAAGGTTTCCCACCCCTGCTGTAAAACCTTGGTGCAACCCGATTTCTGTTGTCATTTTGGTAATTGTCGAAGTTAAGCTAAAGATGTTTTGAAACCTTCCATGTTTATAGTTCATTATTTATAGTGAAGAAAAATATCAATTTGTTGTCCCACTTATTTATGCATTTATTGGTTGTTATGTGAACTGGGATTGAACCCACAATCTTGGGGTTATCAGTATAACACTATCTGATTGAGCTACCCCAACAAGGGCTATTTACATTTTTAAAGTAGCAAATCAGTATATGTACTTCTTATAAAATTTGTTTGATATCGTTTTCAATAATTCTAAACCAGATTTTTTTTCAATTTAACTCAAACCCCAGCCTATGTTCAAGTTCAAACACCCTTTAACCAATGCAAAAGGCCTCTCCCTCTCAGTTGTAAACTTATCAATGCCAGATATTCTCCAATTCTTTTAGGTTCAAGTGTTCAAAGTCTGAATTGTTTGTGGAAGGCAAGTTAAAACTTTCAGCTACTCATATATTTACATAACTAATTTTTTAATGGCTAAAGAAAGCTTTGAAAACCAGTGTTTGCTCCAGGAATGCTCTCCACAGGTTGGAATAACTTGACTACATGTCATCCCCCTTGTTTTTTTTTTTTCTGGGGAGGACTCATTTCAACACCAGCAGGCTGTACTACCCTAAGCAATCCCAATGTGGCAACTCAGCCTGACTTCACCTCTGGGGAAACCTTACAAATAGTATTCACTAGTTTTAAGCTATGTGACACCATGTACTTCACTATCAAAAGACCACTCAATTTCTCTCCCCTATAAGGGGTGTTACTGAAATACTAATAGCCTTAAATGGCGTATTTCCATGTATCATTATGTATTCAAGAAAAACCGCCCACTTTTATATTATACACAAACTTCTTTCCTAAATATAAGAAAATGGAGCTATCCCTATGAACCCTTTTCTATGTAACCGAGTTCTCATGCCTTCTGGATATTTGGAGGCCAATATTTCAGGAATTTATGAATTAGGAACCATATACTAGTTATTTGAATATTCTCAAACATCAAACTAGAACTAATTCTATAGATAGAAACAAAAGATTCAAAAATTTATCATGTAATGGGAGAACAGGAGCTGTTAAATTGCACGACTCAGCTCCCATTATGCGATACTCCCTCTTTAAGATTAATAGCCCAACTGCTGAAATTCTGTCTTTACCACCCTTACCAGATTCCATTTATAAATGCTAGAAAAACACTTCACACAAAAAATATGTAATTTAAGATTACTATATTTCCTTACAAGAGGAACGGTTTAACAAATTTTAACAGGTGTCAATCAACCCTTGCTCAAATTGGGCACACGTCAAATCTAGCATTATGGGAATTTTATTCGGAAGTGAACTTAACTATTATTAATACAAACGTCAAGATACTACACAAAACATCCACAGGAACTTTTTTCCCTTTTTTTTGACTTGTTCACAAACATTTCCTACATAATCCAACATACAACAAAGAAATGGTACATCTTTTTCTTTCATTTTGCATACAATGGAAAAACAAGAATATATATATATTTTACAAAGTTTAACTAATAGACACTAAGCAGGCTGACAGTTTAAATTTGTTAAGAAATTATCTAATAAAAAATAACCAGAATTTATTTAGCATCAGTCACTTCCATAACCAAATATTACTCCGATTAATAAAACTTGCTATCAGGCTTCTGGTATACATTTATACCATTACTTAATTTTTAGTACTGCTCCCCACCTTGGTTCTTCACAATTACTAACATAGGAAACTGTTGCAAAGTAGGGGCATTTACAAAAACAAAATCCCCAGCTTATTATAAGCATGAGTGGGGTATGATGGAATTTCTTCCCAAGTAATGGACATTTAAACCATCCAGAAATCACCAGAACTGAATTTGCAAAGACTATTTTTTTTTTTTGCCTCAGGGACATATGGACTATTATTACTTTTCTTTCCTGTCCCCCCCACCCCCCAAATGTTACAGTGACCACAAAGCAAAGTGTTCACAATAATTACATAGGGGGAATTTTCTAACCACCAACAATGAACAAAAATTAAAATTCACTCACTCTGCTGCTGTTTCAAAATTTCAATGTTAGTTTTTGCACACCCTCCCCCCCGACCCAGTTTGTAAGGAACTAAAACATTACATCTGGTGAACAGCAAAGATTTCACTACACCTCAAATGCAGAACACCTATGAAGCAGAGGAATGTTGGCTTTTTAAACAGAAGCAGATAAAAAATAAAAGATGCAGGACTCCTTCAGTTCTTCACTAGTCTTAGAAAAACTTTCCAGAATACTGCTTCACACTATAAAAAAGAAAAAATATCTTGCATTAGAATCCTTCAACATCTGCATACTGCTTCACACTATAAAAGAAAAGAAAAAAAAGTACGAATTAGAATTTTTGTTCGTAACATCTTCATCAACATTAAGACAATTTCAATGCTAAATTAAAGCGATAAGCATGTCCATTAATAATTAGAAATAAGAATTAAAACAGCAATTACAAATTAGAGCAATGTAAAATTCAAGAAAAAAAAAAGATTAATAGTGAACCAGACATTAGTAGAGCAGAATTAAGAAAATGAAACAAAAAGTTGTTAATATTTGGTAGAAAAAGACAAGAAATGCCAGTGAAGGTGTGAAATGCTGCATTTTACAGCACCAATCATTTGTCCTGTAGAGGCATGGCCTGTGCCATATGGCAGACTGTGATTTGTTGTCGATTTAGTTATCTAAAAACAACAAAATCACTAGTCTTCCACACAGAACTAGACCAACATCCATTGAATCTTCTACATTTTCTACAGGCTTTGTATAATTTATAACAAGTGGTTTTGGCAGCAGTTTTCACCAGAGAAATGAGAAGTTTGCTTGGTTAAGGCTTCTTCCAGCAAGATTAGTACTGAATGTCTCCGTTTTTAGTAAGAAAGCAGAAGAAAATTAAAGCAAAACTATTAGAATGTTTAGAAGTTAGGTCCCCAAAAGGTTGAGACACCATGGCTTCTAAAAGAAAAATCAATTGAGAAGAAAAGCTTTTTAAAGTTTTAGTATGTGTAGGCTAACATAAAGCTAAACTTAAACTGACCTGTTCTGCAGCAAATACTGTGCATTCTGTATCTGGTCCTGTGTTCCTGTAATGGTAATGATCCGATCTTCGGACCCTTCTAAAGGCTCATCAATTTTGATCGAAGCTCCTGACTCATGACGAATTTGTTTAATCCTCTGACCACCTTTGCCAATTATAGATCCAGCCAGCTGAAAAGGTTTTCAAAAACAAGCGTTTATGATATACTTCAAAAAAAAAAAATCACATTACCTATATTTTAAAAGACCTTCGAGTTTAACTTCGTAGTTATTTATTCTGACTTTTAATCCCCTCCCCACCCCCGCCAAAACTAGTCAAGATTTGGGTTACAATGCAATTACTTCAACATTTTCTTAATGAATCAAAGGCTCAAAACCATCCAACAGCTTTTGATAGTAGTGGACACCTGACAAATCCCAAATTGGAGGACATCTCACTGAAGTCCTTAAAAAACAACTTTATTCCTAAAATGGATTTGTTAAAATCTCTTATTATAAGTTGGAGGACTTGAAATAATTCATTAAACGTTTACTGTAATACAGTAAAGATACTTACATCTTTGGGAATAGTTACTTGTGTTGTAATAATAGGTCCACCAAGATCACCATATGAGCCACGACCCCCTGCATAGGAATAATCTGATTTAAATAATGAGCATTAAGTTCTTTTAGAAAACATGAAATAATATTTGATTTCACAAAGGAGAAAACTTACCATATCCAGAGCCACCCTAAAAATGGAAAGAAAAAATAGAATATTACTTCGCTTTCAAGACTCTTTTTCAGATATTTTAGTATTCCTAAAACTCCTCAGTTTAGGAAACCAAAGTCCCATATGCTCCCTAGTAAGTATATTTCAGAAGACAACCCTTAGGGCAAGAAACTAGTCAGGTACACAGCATTTAAAGAAAAATATTAAGTTGAAAAAAAGACACTTATTGGTGAGTAGGCAAACATCTTAATTATTCCCGATATGAGTGCAAACAGCCAGGATACTCAACCTGTGGTTCATAAGCCATCTGCCATTCTGAAGGGCTCCATGTATCTATTGCAGAGTCCCATGTTTCATCGGCACTGAAACCAACCTGTGTTGAGACAAAGAACTGTTAACATGAACCTGGCAGAATACTTTTGCCATAGTTATTGCTTTTATATGCCCAATTTATATTTCTACATTACATACTTTGGGGAATAATGATGGCTCAATAAAGTCTTACTAGTCTGGCAAAGAACAAAATGATGTAAGTGGCTATCTAAGGAGTGAATTTGTAAGACAAGCTTTTCCAGCAACATTTTCGGGAACAAAAATGTTCACTATACCATACTTGTAGATGCCTTACACACTGAAATGTAATTGATAAATGAAAATTCTTACCATGCCATCATAGCGATCTCCAGGTCTTCCTCTCCTGTCATAGGCCATTAGATCCCTGCAAAAACAGTACTGGTTGTAATCTCAGTTTACTGACATCACACACATCAAATAAAGAAAGTCTAACCCCGATCACCCCCTAAACTGCAGCCTCTTATATGTTAGTAATATGTAGATGAAAAGGAACTTACCCTCCTCTAGGTGGTGGTGGAGGAGGAAGAGGAAGATTGCGAGCTCTGCTACCACCCCGGCCACCTCGTCCAGGAGGAGGGGAAGGAGGTCCTCGCCGAGGGCTCATGTCATCATAATCTCTTCTAGATGGAGGCATGGGGCGCCCACCCCGACCAGGAGGCATTCTATCAAAACCACCTCTTCCCCGCATGGGAAATCCCACAGGACGGCCACGGCGGTCATCAAACATCATTGTAAAGCCACCATAATCATAAGTTTCATCATAAAAGTTGGGATCATAAGGCTGTGCACGTCCTTTGATGGGCGACTAAAACAAGAACAGCAATATTACACACCAAAGAAAAACAGACTTGATAACCATTCTTTTTACAAATTATCTAAAGTCCTTTTATTTTTCCTGTGAGGTACTTCAGACAGGAATATAAGCAAAAACAGGAATATAGGAAATAACTGGAAAGAAATGCATTATTTTTTGTGAGTCCTAAAGAAAAAGTGAGCTTTACTGCTTGGGGGAAGAAGTAGCAGCTTGCTACTTTTACCAGATTATCTTAAGGGACTACAACCCCTTTTATGTTTCACAATGGAGTCTATGAAGTGACCACTCAGAGGCATAAAAGGTTCAGTATCTTGGGTGAGCCTGTAACCCATACGAACACTACTGAACACTATCAGTTGGAAGCTCTGTGCAATGTAGTACTGTAGCAATTTCCTTTGAAGGACTAAAGGCTATAAAAATCCCACCAGCAATCAAGACAGTTTTCCAGTCTCTCAAATTATTTCTAAATTAAAGTAATAGCTAGCTAAAGATAGGGGATTGAAAATTGCTAGGGAAAGGACAAAAGACATTTGTCTAAATATTCTGAAATACTTTGACATCTATGTCTCAAGAAGTTAAACATGAAGATAAACATTCTTAAGGTACCTCTGATATAAGATCAAGGATGATCTTTATGCACTCTACAACCCTATCAGGTTTTCCTCCAATAAGAACGACTCTGTCAGTGGAATGAGGACAGCATTCCTGGAATAGCTTGATTGTTGTCTGAGTGTTCTGTATTAAAAAAGAAAAAAAAAAGCATTAACCAAAAAAAAACACAAACAAAAAAACCCCACCCCAACAAAACAAACACAAGGAAGTACACTAAAGAGGTTAGGAAACCTAGGAAGGTTCAGATAAACTTATCAATCTTAAGTAAACCCACTCCTCTCCACCCCAAATTTTGTTGGTAAACCTAGGATTTTTTGGGGGGGGGGTAGGGGTGGGAGGGAGGAGAAGCACGCCAAAATAATGTGGTCAGGCCTTATTGTGGTATTTCAACAGCAAATGTGATGAGGAATCTCAGGGAAGAAACTCAGAAAGGTGCAAGGCCACTACACCAAGTCTATATGAAAAACTATTTTCCAGTAAAAGAAAACAAAAGTGCCTTTACCTCTCGAAGTTCTTTGATTTTAGCACCTTTGACCCCAATAATCCCTCCTGCCAGACTCTGATGAATCAACAGTCTCAATTCGCAGTCAAAGTCGCTTCCTTTATAGTGTTGGTACTGCAGAGGGAGAGTTATAAAATTTTAGTTCCAAATTAAGGATTTCCCCAATACACACTTATCTGCTATAAGCATAACATACTGTTGCAGTGAGCAACCTGAATTTATATTTCAATAACTTTACCAGTTATGTGCTTATTATCCTCAATAGCCAGGCCCAAAAAGGACATTCTGCACCACCTTAAAAAACTATTTTATTTTCAGGTCCTGCAACACCATACCCACACTGCAGCCATTTAGCATGTCGCTGTTACTACAATATTATTATTAACATTCAAATAACATCATAATATAAATGACTGCAAAGCACTTTGCAAATGTAGTTAATTCCCACTGCAGCATGGAGCAGGGTCAACAGTGAGTTGTAAGACCATTCATTTATCATGTTTTTAAGCCTTTTTCTATAGAGACCGGAAAAGCACACTATGTTAAAAATAAAATTAATCCCATGGGCCAGGCTCCATACTTCAGTGGGGTTCAATGGCACTATGACATACATTTAAGCATTCCACAGCATCAGATTCGAGCGGGAGCTGGCTGGTTGCAGTGGGTGATGGCAACTGCAGGCCCTGAAAGTAGAAAAATAAGAGTAATAGGTTAAGTGTCTAGTGTGATCAGGCTATTGTCGCATATATTGGTAAAGCTACTACAACATATTTCACATCTACATCATTAAATAGCGAGAAACTACATTAATCTACACTAAGAATGTACAATGGTTTTCTCCATACACTACAAATTATTACAGAATTTAAAAATCCTCAAATTTAATGAAACAAAAACAAAACAAAAAACCTCCTCTAAAACTAAAGCCCATAAAATATATGCTAAACCAATGAAAATGCATGACCAGATATTTTTAGTTCAGATTTACTCCGTTGTGGTCAGACATTTTAAAAACAATGTGAATACAGCAACCCTGTATACTATAAAGCAGGTTGTACAATGCTACTACTACTACAAAATGTTATACCCACTGTCTTTCCACCTCCCCCATTAGGTCCCACCAAAACATACTTTAACCCTCCCCAGTCAACAAATACAGAAAAAAATGAGCCTACCTCTTCCAAGGTAGGGATGATTTTCTTCAGAATTTCTCCAATTGTTTCAATATCAGCACTGATACTCAATATGCTGTCAAACATCACAAATACCAGATAGTACAAAAAAGTTGGAAAAGAAAAATGAGTTTTGTGTTTATCACTAGTATTCATACAAACTTTTCCAGAGAAGTAACATTTAATACTCCCCATTTAAAGTAGCCTATTTATAGGTTTACACATGCATTTTTGTTTTATGCCCAATACAGACATGATAACAATATTAGGAGACTTGGAGAGAGACAGAGAGAATGGGCTCTTGGAAGGGCTCAGATTAAGTGGGCAATAAATTGACCAGAACTGAAGCAGAGTTGAATATTTATGTTCCCCGCCACCACTAAGTTAATTGAGGATACCCTCGCTGTTACACTGGTAAAACTGGCACACCTTCTCTTAGGCAAAGTGGGGAATATGCAAGTGGTGAACATTATATTTGGAGTAAGGTTATGGATACCAGTTAGAAATTAGATCACTAATGGGCTCTGCAAGAAAACAAATACAAATGCAAGACAAAACAAAGACAATACAAATGAGAAGTGAAGGAAAGTGAACCAGAGTTAGCATTTCATCAGAAAAAATTATGAACAGGCAAATGTTGGGAAGCAAGGTGGGCCACAAAGACAGAGCGAGAGACTATTTTGGTAACAATTTGATTTACAATGCAGCAAATATGCAACACTTGAAGCTGTGCTCCTTCCATCGAAATAAAATTAGTGGATCGTTTGGGTGGGCAACTCACGGTAAAAGTTCAGTGACAAAAAGACTTAATGGGGAAAATAAGACAGAAACTTGAAAAACAATACACCGTCTAAAGGGGATACTATTTAATTATATAAAAGGCAGGTAATAAAATACATTTCTCTCTTTCTAATCAGGCAGTGAGGCATAAACTGTTGGGACATACCGCTCGGGGCCACTGCTGTCTGGGACTGAAACACTGGCATTGTACTGCATTGGTCATTGGCGTTCGTGGATGTTGGCATTGGGCATGGGCATTCAATCAGAAGTTGTCAAGTATGGTACCCGTTTGGCAACGAGCACATTTTTGGGCATAGCCAACCAGGGTTTTCACATGGGCGTTCAGGGGCGGATGGGCCAACGTCATGGTGGGCAACGCAGGGGTAAGTCGATCCAGTACATGGGCAACGGAGATATATGGCCAAAAAAACAAGGAGAGGGAAAAGGGGGAAAAGCAATAAATTTTAATTTAATACAAACTATACTCATACTCTCAATTAATGAAAACAAGTTTAAGTTGTTCTGAAGACTAACACAATAATGGACTTCTCTATATCTGACTGTGGCTTAACATTTAAGGACCTTAAATGACGGTACTATTTTTTTTTCTTTTTAAGAAAACAAACGATGTTTCAGTAGCAGGCTGGCTCATGAGGGTAGACACAAAACCTGTCATGACTCAGTTTACTCAAGTTCTTGAGGAACGGGGAAATTAATAACCCAGATAATTATACAGAACATCTGGATTAAGAGGAGAGAGGTTTATAAAAGACAAAACAAAAATTCCCACACCACCAAAAACCCTAACTCTTAAAAGACTAGTTGGTTTCCTGGAGGTTTAAAAGGCATTCCTAGATCCTAACAGGCAAGTTTGTAAAATTTTAAGCAAATTTTCAAGTTCAGTTTACAGTACTCAAGAGGAACATACAAAGATCTGCGACCAAGAGAGAAATGAAATACTATAAGTATTCAACACAAAGTTATTATTTGGCTCCATTTCAGCAAGAAAACATTTAAGAGCGTGTTCACTATGAGAAAAAAATTTTTTTAAAAGGAATTTAGGTGTAGCCAAGTCCTATAAATATGCTTACTTCTGGTGATACCAACATTTAATGTGTCTAATCACAAGAGTCAACCCACTATAAAATATTAAGACTAAAATCAATGGCACTGACATAAGGTTTCCCAATCTTAAAGGTAAGTGCCTTCTCTTCTTTACCCATATTTAAATCATGCAAGCTCAACATTAATTTGTGTTCCATGTGCAAGCTGTTAAACAGATGGACGATTAAAAAAAGGGAATAAAAATTTCTGAGTTTAATCAGCCACCTGCAATGGCTTTCAGTAACACAGTAATTGATTCACACACATGGGAAATGATGCAATTAAGGGTCTTTACACTGTCGTTATTTCTAATTAAGATGTTATCCTGCCTGAAGTGAATAATTTGGTGCAAAGTTATTAGAAAGTGAAGAGGTTTAATATAGACCTCACCACCCAACCCAATCCAAACTTTGTTAAATCAGGAATGGCAAACCTTGAAATTATCTATGAAATTGATTATTATAAATGGCATGTATCTAAACTATTAAGTGATTTCTATGATGCAACTCTTTAAATTTCTACGAACATAAACTGAAGCTGGAGTAGTAGTTTTAAACTCTTTAATACTTACGTCTGTACGCAGAGCCTTAATATTCTTGCCTCCTTTTCCAATCACTGCCCCAGCATTCTGGAAAAAGTAAAAAGACAGATTAATTTTGCCCCTTCCTTCCTGTGTTCACAAGCTTTAAGCAAGAAAAATATAAAAATAAATAAAATTAGCCCTTCTCACTTTTTCTTGTTATAGGGCTAAAAATCTATTTGGGGTATTAAAAATAATACAGTAAAAAACAAAAAAAAAAACCCACCAAGGCAGAAATTTTAAATATTTAGAATGTCAGTATACACTGAACTTATTAAAACTTTAGCACTGATTAATTTCACAGTACCCATCTGTAAAACAAATAATGTAAGTATTAGTAGTAGATACCTTTTCATTGTTACCTGATAGTATCAAGTGAACTGCCAAATTGCTTTCTAATAAATTTGCAATGCAATCAAGACCCATTAATGCTTTAAGGATTACCCACACCCTTCTCCTGGTTTAACCTGTTAAGTTGCTCAATGTATTAAGGGATTTCATTTTAATTATTACACAAACAAACAAACAAAGCCACCACATGGCCTACAAGTCCTTGTGGAGCCACACAAATCTTTCATATTCTTCAACCTCTAAGGCTTTGAATTTGAAGGCTTCCAAGAGGGCCAAACCAGAACTTAAAACCCATTTTCAATTTCCCAAGAATAAAATGAATACCTTGCTCTGAAGCAGAATGCGTAATTCAACCATCTCATCAGTGTTCCTAGATCTTTTAAAAGCTTGTTCCTCTTCCATATCTTCTGCAGGGCGTTTACCTAGAAATCAACAGTTCCAAATTTCAAAGAAAGCACATCTTCAAAAGGCATCTTTAATCATAAAGTTTTAATTTAACTAACTTAACTTAAATTAGAGAAAGCAACTATATTCTATCTTAAGAGATTTGTTGCTAATTGTAAGTTTGTTTTAAAAAGGCTGAAGGCACTCGGATTCTTTGACTTTTAAATATGAATCAAAGCATGCGCCCTTTCAATTTTCTAAACACAAAACATGGGAGTAAGGATTATTTTAAGTTCATAAATAAAAGCCAAGCTGTAATTCACAGGGATCTCAGACTAAACACCGATAAAAATATAAAATTGTTAAAATTAAAATGTCTTCTTACCAAATTCACCGTTGGTTTCGGTGTTGGGGAAGGTTTCCTCTGGCTGTTCAGTTTCCATTTTCTTGGATTATATGGACACACCAATCTGTTAAAAAAATAAAGAAGCTAGTCCATTCGGCTTATTGAAAAGTAATTTGCAGCTAAATATTTTTAAAAAGCAAAGACAGGACTGTTTCTAGAACGTACCAATTATATATCCTTGCAGAGCAGAACTGTTCTGGGCGGGACCAACTGACACCCTAGTGCTGCAGTAGCCTACAAAAACCAACACAGATCAGTTTTGCCTTTGGTTGCCGATTACTAGATACTAACAAAACCCAGATCTGAACACAACAAACTAAAGAGCCATTTCTTCATTTTAGGGTCTTAAGCCCTCCAGTAATTGCCTTAAAAATCCAAAACAATATTAGTTTTTTCTTTTACAAAGGAAAGAACACTAAAGCCACTGGACCTAGTCCCACTTCAGAAACTAGTTATTTACATAATACACACATATAAAAACAAAGGCACATGCATCAGCCCACGAACCTCAATTCTGCCCCCGAAAATGTAATTTATACAAAGATATATAACAAACCTAGCTTTATAGAGCAGCCCCACACCGCCCGGACTACTTTATCATCTGCGTTAGCCGAGTCCTTCAACACTAACTACCAAGGTATTTTACGCGACGATACAAAGGGCGCAACCTAACAATTACACATCTGCAACCAGACTGGCGACGGGACTGCAAACAGCCTTTTATCGCCCCTCGCAGGACTGGCAGAGGCGGCGACATGTGGCCCCCGCTTAAAAAAAAAAAAGAGAAAAAGGCGGGGGGATACCTAGGCAGCCTAACGTTTAAAAAGGGCAGCACTTATGCCGTCCATAACGTTTGCCGACAAACCACTCTTCTAAGGACTCCCTGAAATCCTCTCTTTCGGGCCCGTCAGTCAGTCAGTTATATACAGAGATATGGCGGGCGACTTGGATAAAGGAATTTAAAGATCATCTATAAAAAACATCACCACCACGCCGACGCGGGGTCTAGCTACAAAAAAAACAAAACAAAACCACGTTGATGCGGTCCTTCAATCACCATTCCTCCGGCCGCCACAATCGCTAAGTACGCGCGTAACGAGTCGAGGCCAACATGAACTCCCCTCCCGACTCCCGAGACCGGGATCGGCGGGAGCCGAGAAAGCCGGAGGCGAGCGCAGAGGCGCCGCACGTCAACTCCCGGATCCGACAGGAAATGGCCGCCCTTGTAATGGCGACTACGTGCTACTAGGCGGAGCCGAGCGCCGAC